CGGCGGCGAGGGGGGCTCTCGGCCTCCTCTTCCCCCGGTGCGATGTCCCCGCTTCTCTGTGTTCCCGCAGGGATCATCAACTTCTGTGCCAATAATTACCTGGGTCTCTCCAGCCACCCCGAGGTGATCCGTGCCGCCGTGGAGGCCCTCGAGAAGTTCGGCGCTGGGCTCAGTTCGGTCCGCTTTATCTGCGGTACCCAGGTACCGGGCATCCGGGCAGCATCCCCTGCACCGCGGTAGTCTTTCGCAGGGTGTCCACGCAGACTCCCCTCCCGACACTCGCATGTGTGCACAGCTGTAAGGTACACGTGGCTCGGTGAAAAAAAGAACCTGCTAGGTCCCCACTAGCCAAAGATCTGGAAATATGCCAGTTTAAACCATTACAACACCTGAGAGCAAAGAAACGAAACACCACTCTGAATTCAGAAAATTAATGTCTTTTTCCCTCTCTTGTTGGTCAAAATTACAGTCAACCTGATTTGAAGTGGCTCTATCAGACCCACCCCAGTTTATCCCTGCTGGAGCCCTTTCAGAACGCTGGCTGGTTAAGTGCAAAGAAAACTCAGAGCTGCTCCCCTGTGCTTGGGGAACTCCCTGCTGAGGTTTTGGCATCCAAAACCATAATCATATTTTAGGGAACACAACTAACTTCTCCCATGCACACACACTTTTTCTGAATAAAACCTGGCTGTTTCCTCCCCTTGCAAGTCAGCATTTAACCTCAATGGGCAAGCAAGAACTTGTGCTGCTCCACCTCTGACTTTCACTCTCTCTTCCCTTTAGAGCATTCACAAGGACCTGGAGGAGAAAATCGCACGCTTCCACCAGAGGGAAGATGCCATTCTCTATGCCAGCTGCTTTGATGCCAACGCTGGTATCTTTGAGGTTTGTAGGGCTTCCTGTGTGTTGTGCATGGAGGAAGGAGGTGACAGCAATGTGCCTGCTGTGTCTTCCAGAGGCTCTGATGTGAGCTGTGTGCGCCAGAAAAGTTGGCAGTGACTGGTGGTGAAGAGCCCCGACTTAGGGTCCTTGGACTGGGGAAGCCATGCAGAGGCATTTAATCAGCCTTCACCTCCCCTGTCCCCAGCCAGCTCCAGCTTTTGGGGAGGGCTCTTGTTTCCTCAGAGATCTGTACTTCCCCTTAAAGTGTAGGTGAGGGAATGTGTGATCCCCCAGGCTTGCTGGGGGGGAGGTTTTGAGCTCAGAAGCCACAGGCAAGAACCTGGCCTAAAGAAATCAGGGGATAAGGTGGCTGGGAAGGAAAGTGGAAAATTTAGCAGTGCCAGGAGAGACATGGCAGCTGCAATCAATTGCAGCCTTGTCCTCTGTGCTGAGAGGGGCTGAAACATCTTGGTGAGGTGCCACAACAGAGCTAAGGATGATCCTTTCTGTTTGGTGTGGCCAGGCCCTGCTGACCCCAGAGGATGCAGTGTTGTCGGATGAACTGAACCACGCCTCCATCATTGACGGGATCCGCCTGTGCAAGGCCAACAAGTACCGCTACAAGCACATGGACATGCAGGACCTGGAGGCCAAGCTGCAGGAAGCACAGGTATGGAGGTCTGCTCCCATCCAAACACGAGGGCGCTCACTTAGCTGTGCTACTGTGCAGTAACCAGCCCTGAATGGTGAGCTCTGCCTTTTCCCATGCAATAGGCATTGTTTATGCCGACAGGCACAGACAGGCATGGATAGACAAGGTGGCAAAGCAGCTGGTTGCAATGCAAATCCCCCCCATTTCAGTTAGATATGTCGACTTCCTACAGGAGTTAAGAGTATGTCCCGGTCTCCTTTGCCAGCCCTTCTCCTCAGGGTGAGATCCTCACCCCCGGGGATGCCTCTTTCCCTCTGACAGAAATATCGTCTGCGGCTGGTGGCAACTGATGGTGCCTTCTCCATGGATGGTGACATTGCACCCCTGAGGGAGATCTGCCAGCTGGCCCAGAAGTATGATGCCCTGGTCTTCATTGATGAATGCCATGCCACGGGCTTCCTGGGACCCAATGGTCGGTAAGTGACTGTTTCTACTCTCCCCCCCTACCCTGACTGATCCTGAAGCAAGGCCAAAGGTGCTGATGACCAACATATTTTGTGTGGGGACTCCCAGAGTCACCATTTCTTGGAGGCTTTGCACCTCACCTTTGGGTTTGAAGGGAGATACTTTAGTGATGACCCATCCCAAAGTAACAGCTGCTTCTCAGTGTGTAAGGGATGGTGTGACCATCTCATCTGCCTCTCCTGGCAAGCAGTTGGACTTCCTGATTCCCAAATCCTTCTCCTGTCAGATATTAATTTCCAATTCTTAGGTTTGTGGAGCTAGCTTGCACAGATTGATTAGTTTCCTCGGAGCAGCTTTTGCCTCCATCGCCTGGAGCTCCTCCAGATGCCAAGCAGGGCACATGATGCAGGTGTTTGCCAAGAAGAGATGCTTCATGTGTTGTTTTGAGAACTAAGCAAGGACACTTGCCTTG